ATTCAGTGTCAATTTTGATTCCAAACTAACAAAACTGCGGTACAAGTCATTGAAAGTGGTGCCAATATGGGCACAACCTCCAATGAGTTGTATTTCCTGCCCTGTTGGCAATCCTAATTTCTAAAAAAATATTTCAAATAATAGTTTGAGCTCGAAAAATCGTTTCACACAGTTGAATACAGCATATTAAGTTGTAATTGAACAAATCTCTGAACGAGTCGCATATCAACTTCATGTACTTCTTTTCGAGGCTTCCTGTGCGTAATGTGAATCCAGATAATAATGGTTGAAGATGCATCCTATAGAAATGAATGTCCTTTTTTCAAAAAAAGCTTCAGAAACCATGAACTGCTTTTTTTGCCGTTATAGGTTGGAACGATAGAAAATAAGTTTCATAAAAGTGACTGCCGTTTTTTTCTTAGAAAAAGATATGAATTTTCTCTGAACGTGTTCTTTGTCGTTTTCTCGAGTGGTTATACTTCACTTCATTCTCTACATTCTGAGAGTTTGTGTTAATTCATTTGAGAAATCAAATGTTCTCAAACTAACAGTCAACTGAAATAAATAACTAAGTTTCTTGTGGAATGATACTATTAACTTCCATTTATCACTCATCAATTAATACTTATTCTGAAGGTAGTTAGATAAATAAAATTTAGAATTAGGAATTCGTTTTTTCAATGTGCTATGAGAAACAATATTTAGTGTGCTTGATTTATTCGGAAACTTTTCTGTGCAATGCAATAACATCTGTTTGGTATTGTTTATTTGCATCAAATCTATTACTAGTTTCGATCCGCTATCATCGTCTTGTTGGTATTATCGTCAGAGCTTTCCATAGTTTCCATGACAGTGATACGAGTTGAAAAATTTCGTAGTGAGATTCTTATATTCTGATCACATGATCAGCCGATTGGACTATACCGAAAGAAAAAAAAAATACTTCAGTAAGTTGAAAATTTTATTGGATTTGAATATACTAATCGAAAAAAAATTTATACAAAGACGATCGATATGTTCATTTCTGCTATCAATTCTACTTCTATTGTTTTTTCATTAGATTTTCTGATAGAAATGACACATATTTTAAAAACAGATCAGATATATATTTGGACAAAAGAGAATTCGCGAAGGTGTAACATAGCATGTATGCATGAAGGTCTGCCTTTTCCTTCACATAATCATGGGATATATTTAAAAAAAAAACACCTTGAATTGTATCCGGACAATAATAACCACACATGTCTCTATTTATAGATTGTTACATATTGCTGTTTTGCAGCTTCTTATGTTCAACAAAAGGGATCTTTTGATGTCTGGTTCCATCTCATAAATACATAAGAAAGATTAGTTCTATCTCTTATATTATGCAACAGTTTCTGTAGTTTCTATTTAATTATCGAAACGATTAACTTATGAGGAAGAAAAAATGTTTTATTGTCGTCATAATTTACCTCTAGATCTTTATCACCCTTTTCATAATGTAGTTCAAGTCGATTTGAATATAATTTCGTATAACGTATTTGCTATGAAAATCCAAATGTTCCTGTATTCTTTTTCAATTGTCCTTGTAAAATCAAATCAGATGTTTTTTCATCATCATAAATAGTATTTTGTTTGAATTTGGCTCATCATTTTTGTTCAATTTTATCTGTTTCTTGATTAACTGTATCAAATACTGTTTCTAAAACAAACGATATATTTTCATACGATTCAAAATAAACAAATATCTCATTGATTTCTACCAGTTATTTCTTGTTACCATCGTTCAGAAATAACAATTGGAAAATTTTTATACAATTCTTGATCAGCTTTTGTTAGCTAATTAAATAAAAATAAATTTTATTTTTGTTTCGTTCGAATATTTATATTTATTTTAATATCTTTTGTACCATCTTCATTAAAATTTCCAATATCAAAAGCATCAGTTGCATTCACTTCATCACGTAATGGAATTAATGGTGGAGTTAATTTCAATAAATAGACTTGTTTTCATTCGACGTTTTAAAACTATATATTTTGTTTTATATTATCGAAATGGACTATATCATTTTAATAATTTATATAACATACACCCGAATGAAAACAAATACAAAATTAATATCTTATCATTGATTTCGATTGATGAAGAATTGATTTTATTCATATTATCTTTTTATTTCTTTCATTTCTATTACAAATTTTGTTTCATTGATAATTGGTCGCTTCATCTTTTTGATTGACATCTTTACCATATAATTGGTTGAAATTCAACATTTGCTACTAACAGTTCGTAGACAAACATGTTTCGAAGTGTTGATGTTATCTTCTGAGAATAATGAAAATCTAAAACAGATAGATGTTACAAAACTTTAGAGTAATTTTTTTATTTCATTTTTCTTCTGAGTTTCATAAAAACATGAGGATCATATGATGATCCATTGGTCGTTTAGTGTTTTTTCAGAATATAGATTTTCTAATGGAACAGGTAGAAATATATGAACAAATGCTGGAGAAGAGTGTTTGGCAACATTAATGTCCATCGGATAAGCAAGTTGTAAATGACTAATAGCAGCTTTATTGAAACTTTGCGAGTTGAGAAATTTGGACAAATGTGAACCATTGTTTGTTATTGTCATTGGACGATGAATTTGAGAAGCTAAAATCCACTCAACGTATTGAGCGTAATAATGCGGTATACCATACTGTTGAATTACCGACAGAGGTATTCGTCCAATTGGTTGTACAAGAGCATAGTCGGTCCACTTTCGTTCTTTGTAGTTATATTCAACATATGTTGAGTAATTTGTTGGTCCATGTATATGTAAATCGAAATGAGCAGCACGAAACATCTCGTCATTCGATAAACCTATGATGATTAGAGATAGGATGAGATAGAGAAATTTATAAATTCGTTTGACTACCATTTATATCAATTGCCAACCCATGATGTGAGTATTTTCCCACCTCGTCTGATGTGATATCACTTGGAGCATGATGTAGAACATAATATACTAAACCAATTTTGTTTGCATCATCAAATTCTTCTGGACAAATCTTGCGGCCAGTACCAGGTTCTATTTTGTCTAGTTTATTTCCCATTAACGGTATTATAATAACGATATTCAGAACTATTATCTGAAATGAAAACAATATTTAGAATATACTATAAATATGTAATAAGAATGAAAATCGTAAAAGGAAATCGAAATTTATAAAACATTCTTTATATTTTTTCTTTTCTCAATGTATATACAACTAAAACTGCATTAGTAATGTTAGTTATAATTGGTGTTCGACATCTTCTCCTTGGTTTTCTGATGATGATGATGATGATCTATCTTTATTTACTGTTCGTTTTTGTTGAGCTCTTAATTGCCCTGAATTATGATAATGATGATGTTGATAATTTTTTTCACGTGAAATGGTTTTGGTGTTTGTGTACGTTGATCAGGTTTTTGAATCATTAGTGCTGGTAATGGTGAAGGTTCATGTGAATGTTTTTTGAAAGGTAATGATAATGCTGGTTGGATGGGTGTGTGGGTGTGGGTGTGCCTTTACGAGAAGATACGAGACAACAGGACACCCACACCCACACCCCACACCCAAACCCACACCCACATCCACACCCACACACCCGCACCCACACCCACCCACACCCCACACCCAC